TTATGAATTCTTGATTAACCATATGTGGTGGGATTCTCATGACCTTTGTGCTGTACAGATACGATTTAAATTTAAATGCTTATGTTTGCAGTTCGAATATTCATCACAGATGTTGATGAGTAACTAAGAATTTTTTGACACAGATGACGCAAGACGGCATGTCGTAAAATAATAAACCCGTCAGGTATATGCAAAAAACTGAGAAACTTTGAAACTGAGCTTTTGCGTAAATTTTCTGTCAACATTTTCCTTACGCACGTATTAAATCAGCAGAATAATCAGAATCATTTACCAAATATGTGTCATTTCTAAAAATTTTGTTCGTTGAAGGATCTAACGTTTATTGGCTAGAGTGAGGTTATATGAACGTGATATGCATATGATTAAGGATTTTGCTGTGATGGGATTTTTAAAGTTATTGAGGTTACGTGTCACCCTTGAAAATTTGCAGGAAGCTAACTTATAAAAATAAATTATATCACCTCTACTTTCGTATTCCGAGTCATGAACTAAAGTTAGAATTAAATCTGGGTTCTAGGGAATAAAATTTCAAGCTTTATGACAGAGCCATTTCATTATTTTCAGTGTCTGACCGTTATCAGCGGAAATGGTCCCTATGGTTTTGAAGTGCGAGACTAGCGAGCTGTGTGAATCTTGAACAACTATCATTTCCTCTGATAAAAAGTACAAAATAAATCTGAGGGGGAGGGTACTCCCATCATCATTTTTACTGCTGGCATTGCAGTAGTACTCTAAAGATTGAATTATGTCATTTTAATTATAAGTGATGTTTTTATTAGGGGTTTCTCCAACGTCATAACAGCATTGCAAAGAAAGTAAGATATCACCACATGTCATCGTAGTGGCTACTCTACGACGCAGTCGCACTCCTGATTAGAGTAAGGAAGAGACCGACATTCCCAAGGTTGCTAACGTGACTTTTTCTTTCTTCTCTCCGCTGGAACGGCAAATGACGTTGCTCTACCTATCTTTCTTATGAACTTGAGGGTGATTAGACGTCGATGACGTACGGCGTAGTTGTAATCAAAAATATTAACTCATAAATATTAAATTTTTTGCGCCTAGAACCATATTATTGAAAGGCTCTATTTCGAAGACCATTTTTACTGGCACTGAATTAGCATGAACTTCTGCCATTTCGTAAGTTATTCCTGATGTGACTGTTACTGGCTTCTCTGAATTTGACAAGCTACCACAAAGAAGCATTTTGCGAGCATATGCCCTGTTCCATTTCCAATATTTTCATTCCAAACGGTCAAATAGACAATGGGAAAACTGCTAAAAGAGCAGTGCAGAAAAATTTACAAATCAATTGTTGTAATTAAATTATGCACTACATTCAAATTCTTATAATACAAAGATGCTCAGATAGAATGGTTTGATTTAATTTTTTTATCGGTAATCAAATTTTCAACTAAACAGAACATCAGATACAACATATACCTTTCTAGATGCAGAACTACCTAAAGCGAGTAGATGAGCAGCATCTTCCACATTGAATGAAAAAATTTCACTTTTCCTGAAAAATGACAAACTCTATATCCTGATATAATTTTTGTCTGCCTCAGAAATATTACCATTCTAACTGAACCAATGAAATCATTTGGTGCCTACCTTTGAAACAGTGACATATCAAAGAAAAGAGATGCTTTTACAGATGGCTAAAAATATTTCTTATTAAGTAGTCAGGAAAAGGAAGCTTTCCAGGACGATGACGCTTATACCCCCTCCACCCACGTTGAGTTAACGTAAGTTAAAAGATGCACAAGTTCAATCAGGCATTTCATTCTAAGTTGAAGGAGTATTCTCGTTGTCTGACCCTCTACCAACACTCATGAAATGAATCATTATATGGCCAGCCAGAAATCAGCACGATGGTGGCTCTTACAACAGAAAGCGGGTCACATCAATATTTCGTGGTTTAATTTTATCCCACTTGGAAGTGTCACCGTCGTAATCTATGGAACAACGCAGAGAAACTGAATTTCACTGCGTCCGTCTCATGTTTTCATTATACCAGTTGCATTCGTATCGGCGTTCAGTTGCACTGGACAGCGTGTCACAGCATCTTAGTAATTTTGGGAACCCACAGCCAATATGAGGTGAAGTTCATCATATATATATATATATATACGACTGTTTCATTTTAG